AAACAAGGATTCTATGAGTGAATACAAATAAACAAGGAGAGCACAGCTGCTAACTGAAAGGCCAGTGGTCAAACTGTCATCCACTCTTGGGAACAAAAGACCTGGTGATGTGCTTCCGAAAAGATTACATACAGCCTAGGAAACCCTCTAGGGCAGCTCTGTTCTCCTATAGGCTCATTATGAGTGGGAATCAGCTAGATGGCACACGACAACGACATAGAAATGTAGTCTGGACAATCGTCTTCCAGAGGAAGTACCTCTGAACTCTGACCTAGAGACTAAGGAAGGAGTGGATGGGGGTGGCTCCCAGCTAAGGGACCAGAAAGAATGCATGCTGAAAGGTGAGAGAGAACAGGACTTCTAATTGGCAGAAGGCCACTGCTAAGAAGGGGAACTTGATAGAGGAGCCTGTAGAACTAGCCAAACCTAATTTTATACCCACCACTCCTCACTCATCAGCATGGTCCTGTGTGAAAATGGAGGATGGCTACATTGTCCTGGGGGAAAGTTTCACTGCTAAACACTTTCAATAGCATCTAAATAAGAGTAGAAACATTTAAGTACTTTTTACTATCATGATGCTTTGGATTAAATTAAGTGTCCTTCTCACTTTATGTGAAAATGGAGGATCATTGTATAACTACCAACCCACTGAGAATCAGGGCCAGGCTAAGTTGACACATGACCTTAACCTCAACCTCACCCAGTAACTGCCAGGTGACCATCGTTAACACACACACACTAGTTAGTCGATTTTGTTATTGTTGTTATAAATGCAAAATGCCATATAACATGACAGTTATGGAGAAGAATGAGAAGGTGTATTCTTTACTGAAGCCAAACAATAGATATCTTCTCTTCATAATCTCAGGGAGGAAAATTGCAAAGTGTTGTGAATTAGAATATATGTACCTACAACAGGCAAAGGTCAGGGCGCTATGTCCAGATACAGGGACAGTCTTCCTCTCCTATACTAAATTATGTTCTCTTTACAACATGTTGTTGTTAAGTGTCATCAAGTCAGTTGTGACCCATAGTAATATCTTCTCTAACTATGTATCCCCTTAAGTCTACACAGGAGTCCCGGAGTGGCACCACAGTATAAGCACTCAACCGCAAGGTCGACGGTTCAAACTGACCAGTTGCTCCTCGGAAACTCTATACAGGGTTGCTATGAGAAGAAAACAACTCAATGGCACTTAACAACAAGTCTATACAACGCCTGTTACTGAGCTGTTGCTCTTGGATAAGTATATCAAATCCCAGGATTGCCCCAACCCAATTCAATTTCCAACACTTTCTCAGAACTTTATATACGTGAAAAAGTACATATAAAACAAAGCTTATGGGATGGCCCCAAACGTTCCCTTTCCTCCCTGTTTTTCCCTTGTCCTAGGGGAAAAAATGTCACTGCTAAACACCTTCAATAGCACCTAAATAAGAAGGGTGGTGGTGGTTATGTGCCGTGGAGTCAGTTCCGACTCATAACGACCCTGTATACAGGGTTTCTGAGGCTGTAAATCTTTACGGGAACAGAAAGCCTCATCTTTCTCTCGCGAAACAGCTGGCAGTTTCGAACTGCAGACCTTGTGGTACACAGCCCAATTCATAACCACTACACTACCAGAGTTCCTTAAATAAGAAGGGTAGAAACATTTAAGTACTTTTTATGATTATGATGATTTGGGTTAAAATGAGTGCTCTTCTAAAGGTTTTCTTTGCTAAAATATCTGTTTCATTTACTCCATGGTTGATCTCACAATGTTTTCATCTGTGTTTGTGTCATCAGGGTACCATCCGACCTCTAGTGGCGTTGTTAAGGGACACACGCACCATGGTTACTTTGCGTTACTATTCTGTGTGTAAACATGTTGACTAGTCAGCAAAGGAAGCACACCACTGAAGATCAAGCTCCGGAACAAGCCACCAAACCCACTGCTGCCAACTTGGTTCTGACTCACAGTGACCATGGATAGAGTTTCTGAAGAGTGGCTGGTGGGTTTGAACTGCTGACCTTGCAGTTTGCAGTTCAGTGCTTATCCTACATGGTCACACCAGGACTCCATAGAGACCCTTTTGTTGTGATGTGCCAGTCAGTCAGTTCTGACTCAGCTACCCCGTATAGGGTTTCCACAGCTTCAGCAGAAAGCCTCATCTTTCCCTGGCAGAGCGGTTGGCAGGCTTGAACCACGGACTTTGCAGTTTGCAATCCAGTGCTTACCATATGAAGCCACCATGCCTCCCCCATAGTGATCCTGTTTTTATTGTTTACTATCAAGTCAGTTTTGACTCCTGGAGCAGCTGGTGGGTTTGAACCACAGACCTTGTAGTTTGCAGTCTAGTGTTTATCCTATAGTACCATACCAGGACTCCCATAATGACGCTGCTGTTGTTAATGCTGTCGAGTTCATTTCAACTCATAGTGACCCTGTATAAGGTTTCTGAGGAGCAGCTGGTGAGTTTGAACCGCCAATCTTGTGATTCAAACCAACCCTGCAGTACAGTGCTTATCCTACACTGCCACACCAGGACTCCCATAGTGACTCTTGCTGTTGTTGTTAAGTGCCGTTGAGTTGGTTCCAACCCATAGCGACCCTGTACAGGGTTTCCGAGGGTGTAAATCTTTATGGGAGTAGAAAGCCTCATCTTTCTCCCGCGGAACGGCTGGTAGTTTCGAACCGCTGACCTTAAGGCTCGCAGCCCGATTCGTAAAGAACGGTTAAAAGAACAACTCTGAAAAAAGTTTCATCTACTACAAATACTGAAGCCTTCCGACTACTGGAATTTTTTCAGGGTAAGCAAATTCTCTGACCTGTTTTGATAACTTCTCCTAGGCCAGGTCTCATTCTGTTTCAACTACTTTGGACTCAATTACCTCACTGGCACAAATGGGCAACTCTCGGCAAGTCAAACAATGGCCCAACATAAGAGTAAAAAGTTCTTAAAACATAAGTCCAACTCTCCAGGTATACCCACCCTGGGTTCCCTTTGTAGAGGTAGAGTTTTTCACTTTAATCCAATATGAACAAAACCATGAAACTGAAAACCTCAGTAACATACACAAAAATTAGGAATTGCTTTCCTATTTCCTCTGGCATTAGCTTTAACATCTAGATAGAATCATTGCGAAGATTTGGTTGGATTTTTCACATATTCAAAGGAACAAACTCATTTCATACAGATTTCAACTCTCTTGTGAAAATGACACCATGAACACAGCACTCTCAAACTGCTCTCCAAAAGGAGCGGCTGGGGACTTTAGACCCAGAGAGGGAAAGGGGCTGTGTGCGGGGTTGGTTGATGATGCATGGAGGGGATTGTAACCATGGCAATGAATCTATATACAATAGGATGAATGTAAAGCTAATGTTCTCCCATGTAAACTATCACATAATTCACAATAAAAAAAAAAAAAAGCTGCTCTCCAAACAGAATTCTCCAGTGGTAGAAAACAGAAGGGGGCGGCCCTCATTCTCATTGTGGCCTCTTCTGGTCAGGGAGTTCTTCGGAGATGAAATCCAACATTTCGTTACCAATAAACTCCGCTGCCATCAAGTTAATTCTGACTCATAATGACTCTATACAGCAGAGAAGAACTGCCCTACAGGGTTCCCAAGGCTGTCATCTTTGTGAAGCAGACTGCCACATCTTTCCCCCACCAGCAGCTGATGGGTTCGAACCGCCAACCTTGTGGTTAGCAGCTGAGCACTTAACTATACCACAGAACTCCTAGTCCAACCCAGTCTCAATGAAAATACCAGTCAGCATACTATGGAGTCCTAAGGTGGCACTGTGACATAAGGCACTGGACCACAAGGTCAGTTTGAACCACAAGGTCAGCAGTTCAAGCTTACCAGCTACTCTTTGGAAACCCTACACAGAACTGACTCGATGGCACGTAACAAAAACAACAGCATACCATACCCCTCTTGAAAGCTCCCCCTCCCAGGAGCTCAGTGCCAAGGATATTCCTTAAACCACCTGTCTTCCCCATGAAAGCTTCTATCTGGACTTAGGTTTTTTAAAAAAAGAGCACAGCTCCCTAAGAATCTGCATGAGAAATGAAACACCAAAGTCATAAACTGCAACCAATTCCAGACTGAAGTGCTTCTCCCCCTCACCCATCAACACACAGTGGTGGTATGTTTGTGCAAGGTCGAGCGACCCGGTGGATAGGGTTTCCAAGACTGTAAATCTTTGCCAGAACAGAAACACTCATCTTTTTCCCTTGGAGCGCCTGGTAGATTCAAACTGTGACCTTGCAGTTAGCAACCCAGCTCATAGTTCACTACGCTACCAGGCTCCTTGTCCAACATATGTCCAGGGTCATTTCTGGGGGCCAGTGATGCCTGAGTGAAGATAATGAGGCTTGCACTGCGCTCTGAGTTTATTTGTCCAGACCAGATATGGCCGCACCAGTCTGCATTTCTGATGATGAAATCAGATAAAAAAATTTAAAAAAAGGTACAGGCAGACCTCAAGTTACAGTGAGAATGGAGCAGGTGCCAAGAGCCACAAAATTCTGACTTGTTTGGGATCAATGGAAACTTGAGGCAAATGAATGAAACCCAAACAAACTAGCTTGGCTCGTGGTTCTAGAACAAAGGCTCTGTGTCTAATGCCTAATCGGGTTCCTGGCATAAAATAGGAGGTCAGTAGATCCTTTCATCTGGACATCCCCAAAGCTCCTTCGTATAATGTTGTGTATTTCATGGCATGAGATGGGTACTATCAATCTCACTATATAAACAGGAAATCGAGGCTCAAAGGTATTGACAATCACGTTTGAGGTGAGGGACCATTCTCCTAACCACGCCGTAGCCCCAGAACGCTTGAACCCAAGGCACACACACCCTCCAATTGACCTCACAACACCTCTACCACACCGGCCCCGGGGAAGGGGCACAACAGAGACCGCCTGCCTCCCCCAGGTCCCAAAACTCGACACAAACAACCCGCGCGGAACTCCCAGACGAGTCCCCAGCCCCGCGGCCCCTGACCTTTTTGTCCCAGATCTGCAGAGGCTTGCTGCCGATGCTATAGAGGATGGAGAGAAAGCCGCTCTGGAACGTGTTTTTGAACATCTTGCCGGCGGCCTTCTTCTTAGCAGCGCCGGCGACGATTTTAGGCCCCTGGAGTAGATATGGACACGGAGTGGATAGGGTAAAACAGAGGATGGGCCCTGATGTGGAGACAAGAGCTCCTACGTCCTGGTACCCACTGACAGGTGGACTTGAACGCGGGATGCTCAAGTCCACGAGCCTCAAGTCCTAGGTAAGATAACAAAACTCAGGATGGAAACCACAGCAACTGCCGCCCGCGCTTCCCTCCACGCCTTAAATGGAGGCGGCGGGCGGAAGCTGCGCATGACATGCTCCCTCCGCCCATTTGAGCCCGCCCCCAGGGAGAACCAAGCCCAATCCCACCACAAGCTTCATGGACTTCCGCCCTTAAGACCTGCCCTGGTCCGCCCCCAGGTGTAAGAACGCCGTTGCTAAGGGACTATTTTTCCTATCATCGTCTCCAGAGCAGCTTTTAGCAGGCGGAAGGGAACAGTCGAGAGGAACGTGATGTTGATACCTACGTGGTGTCATAACACCTACGTGGTGTCTTGGCAACGTGGCGGGGAAAGAGGGGCGTGAAAGCCATGTTCCCGCCCACTGGGAGTAGCGAGGGAGAATTAAAATGAGAAAAAAAAAAAAAAAGGGAGATCCCGGAAGTGGCCCTAGGTCCCTGCAGTGTTTATTTGGTATATGGTACGAATCGGGCTGCGAACCTCAGGGTCAGCAGTTCCGCGGGAGAAAGAGGAGGCTTTCTGCTCCCGTAAAGATTTACAGCCTCGGAAACCCTGTACAGGGTCGCTGAGTCGGAACCGACTCCAAGGCACATAACAACAACAACAAAAGTGCCTGGTAGTGAGGTTGGCCCAGGATCGGGCAGTGTTTCGTTTTGCTGTGCATAAGGTCGCTATGGATCAGTACCGACTCAATGGCACCTAACAACAACAGTGCCTGGTGTGTGGCGCTGTAGGATAAGCACTGGACTTCTAACTACAAGGTGGGTAGTTCAAACCTACCTGTCGCTCTTCGGAACCCCTATTCAGGGTCTCTATTAGTGGAAACGGACTTTAGTGGCTTGTGTGGAGTCCTGGTAGCGTAGTAGTTACGCCTTGGTTCCAATCCACCACCTGCTCTGCAGGAGAAAGAGGAGGCTTTCTGCTCTGGTAAAGTCAGAACACACACCCCCCCCACACACACACACACACACCTGCCTCATAACAACAATTCCAAATACTCATAAATACTAGTTGGTTGTATACAGAGGATAAAGTAGCCAGCCAACCAGTATCGTGCTAGGCAAAGGAAAGGTTCTGCCAAAAAGAGGAAGACTCACAGCAACATGTATTGACACTGTGCCTGCAACAATGTACCTAAACATAACAATGGTCCAGAACCTGAGGCGTCCACTTCTGCTGTAATTTCCTCTAATTATAACTGAGTCGCTATGAACACGCTAGGTATCTTAATTATGAGATTCGGTCAAAGAAAGCAGTAGTACTCTAATTGTTTAAATACATAGTTAGGAAACAAGAAAATCTATGCATTACAATAAAAGCCGAAATTAATAAAATTAAAATTGTTGTTAAGTCCCACCAAGTTGCTTCTTACTCACAGAGACCCTGAATAGGGTTTCCAAGGAGTGGCGGGTGAGTTTGAACCGCTAACCTTGTGGTTCAAACCGACCTTGAGGCCAAGTGCTTATCCTATGTATGTTGTTGTTACTGTAATGTGCCGTGGAGTCGGTTCTGACTCATAGCAATCCTGTACAGGGTTTCCGAGGCTGTAAATCTTTATAGGCGCAGAAAGCCTCATCTTTCTCCCGCAGAGCAGCTGGTAGTTTCGAACTGCTGACCGTGAGATTAGCAGCCCGATTCGTAACCACTAGGCTACCAGAGCTCCTTACCCTATGTATAGTTAAATTTTAAATTTTAAACTGAAATGATTCAAACATTACATAAACTTTACCAATGTGAGACAATCTATATGAAATATATACTATTTTCCAGGCAAATAAAAATGACCAGTATTGGGTGAAGAAATAGAAAACAAAATAAGCAATAGAAGAAAACAGTCATTAGTTCCAACACATAGCCACCGTAGTAAAGACAGAATTAGCCTTTGAGGTTTCCAAGGCTGAAGCAGACTGACAAAGCTTTCTCCCAAGCAGCTAGTGGTTTCCAACCTGCAACATTTTGGTTAGCGGCAAAGTGCTTTAACCAGAGCATCACCAGGGTGTGCTGATCTCCCGAAGAATAACTGTGTTGTTGTTGTTTATTGTTAAGTGCCATCAAGTCAGTTCCGACTCATAGCAACCCTGTCTAGGGTTCCCACAGAGCGGCTGGTGTGTTTGAACTACTGACCTTGTGGTTAGCAGTCTAGTGCTTATCCTCCAGTGCCACATCAGAATAATTAGGTTTTAATTATTTTATGGGAACTTTCCCTTTTTTCTAGATTGTGTCATGAGGTTCATTTGAGAAACTGAAATATACAGAAAGACATAAAACAACTGCTAAGGGCTGTAAATCAGTTTGGACTCAGAGCAGCCCTGTGTACAACAGAACGCAGCACAGCCAGGTCCTGCACCTTTCTCACAATTATTGCTAAGTTGGGCCCATTGTTATAGCCACTCCATTAATCTATCTCCTTGAGAGTTTTCTTCTCTTTCACTGACCCTCTACTTTTTCAAGCATGATGTCCTTCACCAGGAACTATCCTCCCTGATAACATCCAAAGTATGCGAAACTAAATCTCACTTCTAAGGAGCATTTTGGCTGTACTTCTTCCAATATACATTTGTATGTTGATCGTAGTCCTTAGACATCTTTGCAGCAGATTTGTCCAATACGATACATTGTTTGATTTCTTGACTGTTGTTTCCATGGGCGTTGACTATGAATCTGCTGTTTTGCTGCTGCCGCTGCTGTGTGCTATTGAAATATAGGTAAAATTAAATCCTTGGCAACTTCAATCTTTTCTCCATTTATCATAATGTTGCTTATTTGTCCAATTGTGAGGATTTTTATCCTCCACCTCACGTAAATAAAATGAAAGACGGTAGACTTTGATCTTTATCAGTAAGTGTTTCAAGTCCTTGTTTTCAGCAAACAAATTTTTATCATCTGCATAGCACAGCTTGTTAATAAATCTTCCTTCGATCTTAATGTGGTTTTCTTCTTTACATACTCAGGTAAGTCAAAAAGCATTGTTACTAGCATTCCAATTCATATATGTATGGGTTTATTTCAAACAAAATGTGTATTAAAACATGTCTCTGTGATCAGTGGATGGCTGCAAATAAGTTTTCTCTGTGGTCTCCTTAGGGTGCATTCAAAAGAAAAGGTCCAATCAAAAGGGTGGTTTACGAAGCATCTGCTGGACCAATTAAATTCAAGGCAGAAAGACCTGGGGACTCTTGGGCCCAGAGTCAGTGACATAGCCACAGAGGACTAGAGTGGAGAGTGAAGCATCCAGCTGATAAGAAGAGAGGGTATATGCATAAGAACACCCACACTTGCAGATAATACCCACTTATCCTGGTTTCAGTGACAGGATGATCAGAGCTCAACCAGAAGTAAAAAGGAGAGGAAAAAAAAAAATATATATTCCCATACAATTTGATGAACTTGACCTATACCTATGGAAGCAGTAGCTCAAAAGAGGGAACAAGTCCTTACAGCAAGAATCATTCCCACCCCCTCCACACACAGAATAGACAGGGATGGGCAACTTGGACATTGGCTACCCAAAATGGGGGGTGGGAGGCTACAAAGGCAAGAAGTGACTGGCTTACAAGCTTTCAAGAAGGAACCTAGATTCAGAGGGCCTGTAGGAAGGTAGAATCTCCAGTGAGTAGTATTTAATCTGTCTAGGCAGGTCTGATGCAGTGAAATGCAGATGGGTCTCTTGTGATACAATAGTGAATAATTGTTATCAGGACTGACTGTGAGGGTCGGAAATGTAAAGGTAGATGTTTTACAGCAAGGAGGGGAGTGATTAACTTTTCAGTCTAGGAGCGGAGGTCCCTAGGACCATCAAGGGAGAAGAGCAGAGAGCAGGACCCTACCCAGAGAAGCAGTGATGCCTGAAATGGAGCCAGAGATGATGACATGGAACTATGGAGCAGCAGGAGACTTTAGATCCAGAGAGGGAGAGCGACTGTGTGCTGAAGACCTGGGGGGTACGGGGGAAGGATTGCATGGAAGGGATTGTAACCATGGCAATGAGACGATATACGATAGAATTAATGTAAAACTAATGTTCTCCCATGTAAACTATCACATAATTCACAATAAATCATTTAAGAAAAAAAAAAAAATTCAAGGCAGAGAGGTCAGTTCAGAAGGTTATGAGGCCTGTTTATTGGGATTCCAAAGGACGCATCTTCATAGATTTTCTTAGTGATGATCATGGAACCTTATTAGGAAGTTTTTGCTGCTGATGTTGTTAAGCACTGTTGAGTCGGTTCTGACTTATAGCAACCTTGTATACCAGATCCGAGGAGCCTCTAGTGGATTTGAACCACTGGCCTTACAGTCCAGTGCTTATCTACAGCACCACACCTTATTAGAAGAAGTTAACTGCATTTGTGAAATAAAAGCCAGAAAAGTTGCATCAATGGATTTTTTTCTATACCTCCAACACACCTGCTCATTCTTCAAAGATAGCAACAGCTGTCCTACTATGAAATTGGAAAACCTTACCTCAATCACCCAACAGCCCTAATCTTGCCCCTCCAGACTTCTTTTTGCTTCCAATCTCAAAGAACTTTTTAAAAGAACATGATTTGAGTCCCTCCAGGATACTGAAACTGCCATTTGATGTGGTTTAAGTCAAAGTGTGCAGAATTCTTTGGAGAAGAGCTAGAGAGATGGAAACACTGTCTTAAGAATTGTATAGATTTATGGGGTAAGGTGTGAAATAAAATGAAAAGAATAGATCTAGGTGGAGAATATATCAAGAAACAATAGCTTCATATTTAGAAGTTTTAGTTAATAAAGGTTTCTATATTTTGGAACAATATTTTT